GTTCGTAGGTAGTCTCAAAGCGGTTCACAAATTATTATCCGTGCCTATGCAACCAGCCAATATCTTTCTCAACTCCCTGGGTAGCATACAGCCAGTGCTGCCATTTCGGCGCTCACAGCTAACATTCAACGATTCTTGCACTGCCCACCCACGTACTCATTTACAGCTGAGTTGACTGGAACAAACGGAGTAAAGTATATTGCTCAAAGATACAACACAGTGCCGTGCCGTGACTCGAACCCGCAACTCTTCGGTCAGAAGCTCGGCGTTCTACCACTAGACTATCGTGCCTCCTGTATGCATGTACAAGTACTGTAGCAACATTGGTAAAATGTAGGCATATTAATGTCAAGGTCCAAAGTGCTACCCCTATAGCTTTCTTATTTTGTTTTTATGATTATTTCAATTTCATTTTTTTTTCTTCAAACAACTACAATTCTGTACGATGCATGGCAACATCAAATTGTTTTGGAATATTTATTTTGAAAAGGACGTTAACATACATCTGACAGTACTAATAATAGTTATAATAAACTTATATAGTTGGTAAACTTAACATAAGATATGTGCATTTACAGTTCCTGGGTGCAATTTTCTAAATACGTAAGATGAAAAAATATAAAAACAAGAGTATATATATATATGTCTGTAGTCCTTTTTGAGAATATCTAGACTAAATCCAACAAAACGATCTTCATAAATTCCACAGGGAATGGGGATGTTTAATGTACTTTAACTAGTTTTGCTTCACCCTCAGGAACGTCTGGGTCAATAGCGATCACCTCACTACGAAACTCCATGACATTTACCTACAGCAACACAATACTGATCATCTCATTACCAAATTCTATGACATTTTCCTACTGTATGACAATAATGGTAACCTCACACCAAACTCTATGGCATTTACCTACAGTATTATGACAATGCTAATCACCTCACAACCAAACTCTATGATTTTACAAACAGCATGACAGTAATGACCAGCTCACTTCCAAAATCTGTACCATTATCCTACAGTATGGCAATAATGGCCAAACTCACTTCCAAAAACTGTAACATTATCCTACAGTATGACAAAACTTGCCAAACTCACTTCCAAAATCTGTAACATTATCCTACAGTATGGCAAAACTTGCCAAACTCACTTCCAAAATCTGTAACATTATCCTTCAGTATGGCAATAATGGCCAAACTCACTTCCAAAATCTGTAACATTATCCTACAGTATGGCAATAATGGCCAACTCACTTCCAAACAATAGGACTTTTCTATGTCGTGACAATAACGAGTCTCGTCACTATCGAACTACGACATGTATCAACAGCATTACAATAAAGGTCAACATATTTCTAAATCCTATCATAAAAATATCGACTTTAATGTCAGGGTCGGTGAAGTCCGTTTCACCGACAGTAGTATTCCAGACTCCCCAGCGTAAAGAGTATGTATGCCGAAGTTCTATTCTAGAGTCAGTTATAAGAAGCAGAATTTTTCTCGACAGAGGATTTGTTTGCACCCTTGAGATATCTGCCAGGATGACAACCAATTTATTTTTCAATATGGACTGATTCAGTCTACATTGAAGATGTTTTGGGTCGTCATCCTAGCCAGATTTCTACTTTTAAGAGGTTACATAACTGAAGACATGTTCTTAGATCGTTTGTGACCCTCAATGTACCTAAGTGCCAGGATTTTACGGGTGCCGCATATGCAAAGGATTTGCTACTGTACCCTACTGCAGCTTCTCGTAAGGGGACACACATGTTGCCATCCTGCGGAATAGTGGGTTTTATTATGTGCTCTTTTGCTAAGGAGACATTAAAACCAAAACTTATCTGCCTGCTGACCCCATCGCAATACTTAATATCTATATGTGTCCTCTTTTTACTTTCTTGCTCATTCTTTTCTACGGTTTATTCCTGGTCAGCCGACCTCATATGACCGTAGCTGTGACGAGGACGTTAAAACTCAACCACAACTTTCCCAATAATCCTTTTTTTTTTTTTTTTTTTTTGGATCCGTTATATTTCCTTTTCTTTTTTCTATTCTCTTAAGTTCTGGCTGTCGTCGTTTTTAATTGACTTTGAGTGCGGATTTTGTCTTTGTGTATTTTATTTTAAATGCATAATAACTCACAAGTATTTATTTTCTAATTTTCCTTAACTTTTAAATAACTTTATATAAAAATTAATTGATTAAAACCCTCTTAATAGCCATGGAGAAGAACATGTTCCACCACAATTAGATTCTATATCAAACCCGGCGTTTTAATTATATTTTGACGTTAATTTAACATTAAAATGTAGCAATTGAATTTAAATTAATGATTAAGCTATTATTTTTCTTTAAAGTCGCTATTAAAAGAGATTGCATCTCGTAATTTGTGATTACTTTATACCTGTTCATTCCATTGAAGATGGTTCATGAAGGAATTATATTTGTATTTACTTTGTATTTATGGCCTCACTATGGGTAGGAAGTCTTAGTATGTCCCAGGATTTAATCGTATCTGGTACCATGATTTACAGAATCGTATCCAATTAAACTCGGCCATCCTTTTTCAGTTGAAGTTGATATTAGTTTCGTGTAATTTATTTGTGCAGAAAGTCCTTTAAATCAAGCGATGTTCATTAAAACTAAAAGCGTTTTATTGTTTGCGTGACAAATCAGCACCAAGATTAAAGGGACAATTAATACGCGTCTGCTATTCGTTTTATTTGTTAGATTGGCAAACAACCGTGCAACATTTACGATCAGAAACATTTCAAAATTGAAATACGAGAAAGGATTTTACAGTACGGAATCATTTGCATTTCATAATGGTTAAAATAAGAATATCTGTTTATTTTTAAGCTTATACAACGATGTTTTACTTTCTATAGAAATATTGTATGAATAAACGTGTTTCGCATTTCAAGACCGATTATAAATTTTAAAATCACTAAATGTAAACACCCCTGCGGGTTCACCTTGCGAATAATATCAGTAGCAAAAACCTATAGTCTGCTTATTTCTGTTTTAAAATAAGTCAAACTTTCTGATCGGTTATTATATCTATTGGTTTTGTATTCTGTATTTTCATCGGTTTAAATATTCAGTTTTGATAGTGAAAATATCATGTTGATGTTTCTATTGAAGAGAGAAATACCAGTAATTTTTGAAACATACTTACCGATATTTCAGACAAAATATAAGGAAAGAGTTGATATCCAACAAGGAAACTGCAATACCCACGTGTTCTATTTGTTCTATGTCCTAGACCGATTGTATCAAAGTTCCTAAATTTGACTTTAGAGGTCATGACATTTACTAAATGGGGTATAGACAAATATTTGCTATTCCGAAAAACCTGGATTTGCCTCCTGTTTCTATGTAGGATTCTATTCTGTCACCGCAGTTCGTGCGGTTTTTATTTCCTTATTTGATTTTAAATTATAAAATTAATTTTTGGCATGTGTTCTTTTTTTTTTACAGAAAATCTGGTTTAAAGAACAACGCCCTGTTTTAACTATACATATAAGCAAAAAACAATAGTCATCCTTTCACATCCCGACACTAAGCACGTGGTATTGTTTATGGATGTTTTGTTGTTCATGTTGTTTTTTAACTCTGATATCTGTTATATAAAGAAACAATGTTTTTAACAACAAAACGTCTATTTAAAATCATTATGAACAGTTAAACGATGGTGCCTGGCAAGTCAAGTTGTCCTAAAGCTCTAAAAATACTTTGATAATACCCAGTGGTTTGATTGTAACGAAATCTCGTTGTCATAAAAATAACCACACGAGCTTCAGTTTCAAGGACAAGATCTATCCGATAATACTACCAGCCAATCTGTTTTACAAACTCAATTTGAACTATCTCCAAAAGATCAAAAAAATACATATATCTGTTTAGTTTTATTAGCCTCCTATGCGTGTCTGCCTAACCATAGCTTGTTTGCATTGAGTGGCAGTTATAATACAATGGTTCTGTTTAAACAGTTATTACTTTATAATTACGGTGTTGTGTTTTTGCAAACAATAACAGAACGAAATTATCTTCCGAGAAATAAGCGAACTTCTGTTCGATGGCGTATCCGGTAATCACACATCAGTATGACGAGTAATTTTAAACATTTGCATCCAATTAAATGTCATTTAGTTACACGCGGGTGTTGTATGCACCGACATTCTAGTAGATAAAAGCATTGCAATTGATGTTTCGGTTTAACTAGAATGTAGTCGGGTGAAAATCAACCAAAAGTAAATGCACACGACTTTAAATCGAACGTCTATAAACATAAATGAAAATTGCATCACTTGAACACCTTTAACAATGAACATGTGTGCAACATATTGATTATCTACAACAGCAAAATCAAGTACCCGTTTGGAATATTAAATATCAGAGACCGTTAATGTATACTTTTACCAATTGAATATTTTCTACCAATAAACTTCTACGATAACGAACGTTTCGTTTGATTTCACGTGACCATTTATGTCAATACATCATCGGCCTTGGAAATTTAGTTTTTTTTTTTTTTTAAAAACAAGACAACGTTATAACGTGTTACGTATTGCTATAAATCGTAAGCGAAAAGGCAGTCTTTTAAATTACATATATTTATAGTTTCGACACTAAATAAATGAACTGCTAACTTTTTATTGCATTTTATTCCACCAACTCTTTAGGAAAATGCATTTCCAAATCTGTAAAGTAAGTTCGATACACATTGAGACCTGGACGATGCAGTCTGATATGCCTCTTGAATCAAGAACCTGATGAAATGAGTTTAATGTCACGCTCAGACGGTGTACATATTTGTAAAAACCACACAACTATCAATATATAATAGATCGTTTCCGATAGTTTTGTAAACACAAGCCTATTGCACTTCCTCAATCAACAACGATCAAAGCAAACAATTACATGAGTAGTCTTAAAGTGCATTACTCTATGTATTTTGGAATTACCTGTTACCTTTAAACTTATCTATAACATCTACTTACCTGTATTTAATCGATACCATGCTACATTATCCACGTGTTGGTCCGAAACATCTGTCCACTATAACTGTCATTCCAATTATATATCACTTCGCAAAAAGAACTTGACCAATCCGAAAGAACCACTGATCTTCGGAGCTGCAAACTTGTATAAACTCATTCCTCGAGTTACTTTCTAGCTTTGTTCTCCTTATTAAAACATTTTTCTTGAATTGAAGTTGCCTAGGCTAAAAGTCGACATCTTACTTTAAGAAAAAAAATTAAAAATGAATGACGTCTCTTTTTACCGTATGAATAACGCTTAGGTTCACGCCATGCTTTCAATGATGTCGTCTGCTACCGACAGCGTATCGCAGACAACAGAGCAGTCTTACGTCAAACAGCTCTATCTATCCCTAGAATGGGCATATATAACAGAAAGCTGGCGTACATCAGACAGCAGAGCCGACATAACGCTCCAATATAGCAGCCATGAATCATCTCGTACAATAAGCCATGTCGTTCTTATAAGGTAAATGTAGCAGAACGGTTATACCTAATTGTGTGACCATCCATAAATCCACCCGCGCTATACCTGTGGAAAATTGAGGTTGATACAGAGGATGATACCTACTCTAAGCATTTCAATCACCATGGAATATATCATTGTAGTATGTAACAGTTGGAGTAGAAAATATGTAATTCCGAGGTAAAATATTTAAATATATACTTTGCAATTAATACAGGTATAACCGATGCCTTCTTCAATATTGAAAGTTGAGTAAACTATCGAAGGGAAGACATTTATATCATAACAGACACTACTAATTTCCAATACAAGTTATCGGCTTATATGCTGTGTTATTATTGATCCTGTATCTTGAATACTGCTATATATACGCTTTATATTATGTAACGCAACAGGTATAAGTTAACATGTTGAGCAGAGATCATGATTTGATCGTAGTGCAGCGAGAACAAGTCTCAGGTCGGTCATAGTCTGGTCTCGAGCGATTGGACTACAGAAATAAGGTAATAACAATGCTGAAACAGATGTATCAACTTGGTAGATAATATTAACACTTAACCTGCAAACTTCGATATGACACGATAAATCCACACTTTACACTCATATTGTCACTTATTAGCCAAATCACCGTAGATCAACAATAAGGGTTTCCTAGTTATAGAATTTTGAGTTACATGTAGCTTTCATTTATTCTATAAATGGTTCTTACAAACTTTCAATTTAATCTTCTTTAATTCATTTATGGTTTCATTCGATGCGAAATTATGGAAACATTTTAATGATGGTTTTTCTTTAAATTTCTTCGTAGCCAAATCATTTTCATAAACATAAAATTAATCTTCACTTTATTAAGGAAGATTCTGTTTAATATTTCTACGAATATTTCTCCATGTAGCAAAATGTGAATACATATTTACGTTTTATATATTACTATGACACGTTGCGAAAATGAAACATGGAGGACATCAAATACCAAAGATTTCTGTTTGTTTTTGCAGAGTTAGCATCTTTGCAACAGGTAAGGTAAAATGAAGGCGGTGTCCACAATGATGAAGCCACTCAAGGGGCTCATTAAAGTCCAATCTTAGAAAGGGTACGATCTGGACACGATTGTTTAACATCTCTCCCCGGTCACACCAGTCTTACAACAAGCTAACCAGAAAGGCTTAGGGAGACAGAAAAGTAGGAGCAAGCAGGAGAGAGAAAAAAGAGACAGAAGGCTTAAGTGCTGCAATGGGAGTAACATAAAAACCCTCTCCCGAATGTTCTTCAAGCAGAAGACGACGTAGACAACCCCATTTTGGCAGGGGAAACTACATTAATGGTCTAACACGTACATGAAGCGTATACGGCAGGTCTAATCACAGGCCGAATGGAACGACAGAGTATTTCCCATGAATCCCCTAGTGTGTAATAATTAAGCGGAACTAGAGAAAGATAAAGCGGTTATAGGATTTATGTCGCCCTGTTTACCGTTTCATTTTATTTGGTGTACAATGTCCATTTCGAAAATGCAATGACAAAGTAAATATTTATGTAAAATAGGTCAACATGTCACACCGAACAATGGTTCACACTGGGTTATATCTTGTTTCGATGTATGCATTTCATTACATAATTAATCAAGCAAAAACAGGAATGTTCGCGCTTGTGATCGATTTGTATGGCATTTATTCTTTAACTACTAGTTCCGGAGTTATAAATAGCCTTATTGTCTACACATTCATCAGTTTGGTTGTTAACGTAACATGAAGCATCAGCATTATCGTGGGGTTAATATATTTGTAAAGACATGAAAAAACACATTGTGTGAAGCATTCAAATTGATACCGGAAAAATCAGTGTATCGATGCACGCTTAACACTGATAACAAAACAAAATCAAAATGATAGGTTATATTAACGTTACTCTCCCTAACCATTATCTGTTTCCTCACTCCCAACTTGTTGGACAAACCTGTAAGGAGTTGGAAAACACTTTGTGTTACCTATTTAGTGGGTAAAATCTTGAAGGTTATTTCATTGGTCAATCTTCCAATTTTGATGTCAAGAACAATGCTTTACGATACTATCTTCCATTGTTACGTCAACGTGTATGTTTCCCCTATAAAAACCCCAAGAAAAATGTATTCCTAAGAGAAAAAGCATGGCTTTCTGGATATAATATCTGAACGTTGTGGGAGAAAATGGTTCCCACACTCGTGTTTGTTGATTATTACGCTATCGTTAGTTAATATTTAAATCGTAAAAGACACTCGGTAACCCTAGTGTCCTTATACTCTTCGAAGAGTAAACTTACCCGAGAACGATATACATGATGACTATCCACCAGTCTTTGAGTAACTTCTATATCACGAATCCTTGAGAGACATTAGACGAATTAGTAACAAAGCAATTGCTTTTGACGTTTTCTCTATTGCTCCTTCTTAAGACAAAAATGCTTCTTAAATGTCATTAAGTTTATAATTGTCAATTCAAGCGACATTCTCTGAAATTGGACAGAGCAGCGTTTCATTATCACTTACATACTCTTGTGACATTCTCCAAAAGAAGAATGCCGTTTAGGTTGGCGACAATGGTAATTATTACGTAGTAACAACACATGCATACCAATGGTTTTGGAAGAATGCTCTACCTTAAAACAACAGAGCCGAGGGCTTCGTCAAGTATCGGTATCATTCCAAGATATAATGTTATCTTTTCAAAATAGAGGACAGAAATTATGTATACCCACATGGACAATTTATTGATAAATTAAAAAGCAACTGACAACTTAAATTGTAACAAAGTATTATCTTAAATTTGTCAAGCTGCGAACAACGACTAACAACACATTTTAATTTAACGGTTTTAAACCGTTGTGAGTGTGTCATTGTTGGATTGTAGTGTATCACAAAGAATTATAACAATTAATTATGTTTTATCACGTCAAACGATTTCATGGATCTAAATGTTTCGTAATTGCAATTGCTTTACTTGTTTGACCGATTTAACTTTGTTGTTATGGTTGTTTCAATCAAAAACTAAGTTACAACAAAAGTGGTTCCAAATGTCGTGTGTTATAATTTGCAAACCTGATTTCCGATCCGCTCAGGTCCCCCTGCGTATCCCCCACTGATAATACGTCGGAAGAACTGAGATGACATTAAAACCTTGTCTGTATAATCTAATAGAGAACTGTTCAAAACTATTCCTAAAGGTGCAATTTTCTTCCTTAGATAACAAGACGTTAAAGTTAAAGTAAAAAAGGTTGGACCAGGATCAGGATTATGACGTCTCGGATGAAGACGTCAATGTCGCTCTATAAGCTACAATGTGTTACAACAGCTATTTGGATAATACTTAACGGTATATCAACGGATATTTAAACTGTTTAAGTCGGAAGTTAAATCTGCTTTGCGCTAACAAAGCTGGTGTTACCTTTTCATTTCCTTTTTTTTCTTCTATAAATCGCTTGATGCGTTTTTCTACAATGCAACGATCGCGTCAACCGTCTTGTATGCGGGCGATAAGGGCATCACAACAGGTAAATATTGTACAAGCCATTTCCATGCTTACAGTGTAAAAATATCCTCCCTGTGCTAATAAATTGTATACGATCATGTTATCCTCTACTGCCCTCGTTGCACCATTTGCACATTTGATCTTTTCTAACCTTTCGGGAGGTTCTCCGGAGGTGACTTAACTGTTTCATGAACGTAAATCTTAAATAATTTCTTCACACACGCGAGAGCAAATTTTTATCACGCAATCAATAATACACATGTCATAAAATATATGGAAAGTTGGATGTCACCAGGATTAACATTAAGCTTAGGAGTCTTCCCTGATAGGTAACACAGGCGAATCGTTGTTATCTGAATGTTGCCTGGTGTCAAGTTGAAAACGAATTTTGTGAAGGCGATACAAAACTATTTATATCTCGTTGTTGATACCAACATTTCTCCCCCCCCCCCTCTGCGAATGAAAGATACACGTATCCCATGAGGAACACGCATGATGTGGGATACGTATTTCCCGCAAGTGAACCCTGCGATGACATGACGTCACAATCGGATGTCGGCGTTTTATGACGTCACAATCGAAAACGGGGGGAAAACTTGGTTTGCATTACTGTTGCAGTCTTATATACGGTATACTATACTTTTTTTCAGTTCTTTCCAAATATGGCCTTAGCTTGTGTATATGTTTTCTAGACATTTTGCTATACTTTGTGTTGCTTTTTCGAATGTTTTATCCTGTTCTGCTTAAATTTAAGTTCAGAGATGGGAGAAAGAGCGCCAACATAGACAGACCCTGGACCGTTTTTCTTGTCCGTTTAAACGCAAACGCAACGCAAACGCAACGCAAACTTAACGCAAACGCAACGCAAACTTAACGCAAACGCAACGGAAACGCAACTCACTTTTGGTAAAGAAAAACGGTCCAGGGTCTGTATGTAGACATGTGGTATATTGATGTTCTACATGTACTTCTGGGTGCAGAATTTGGTGTCAGACCCAACTTCTCCACCGTTTGGTAGAATATTCATACCCCTCATACCTACATATGACATAATATATTAATACATTTCTTAAAAAAGAAAAAGAAAGATTTAACCGCTTACCAGTCGAAGGATTCACACCGTTCTAACTGTATACAATGATTGGCTTTCTGTTTTGATTTTTTATATGAGTTAATAAATTTAGTGAAACACGATCAAAGTTTAACCTGTAATGTTCTCTACAATGAAGTCAAAAAGGCCAAATCTTTAATTTAGATTAGGCCTTAAAACACAATGGACAATGTCTCTACCTGTTATTTAACCAATAGTTTAGGTGGTACGTTCTGTTTCAACATGAAAGTAACAAAACCTTCGTGTCTTTGTTAAATCAACAATATATGTATTGGAGTGCTGGTAATTGCCTCATAACCGATATAATCATATCGAACTTCA